ATATATATATATATATAGATAGATATATATATATATATACTTGCTTAAATATAAAAAAAAAATAGATGTTCTAGATACTGAGTAGATTGTTAGTTGAGTGATTTTGTATGCAAGATCTTACACCAGATAAAGAACCATAGTCTAAAATTAGTATTGTGTTAATAAATTGAGGCCCCTGAATAACCTCTAAATAAAAAAAAGAATTCTCAAAAATAATGATGTTAATAAATAAAAAAAAATCAGTTCCTGGCTCTGAGAGCAGGCTGCTGAATGCAGCCTGGTACAGCATGTAAATGCTCTTTAATGCCTAGTCTATATATTTATTCAAAAACAACAATTATATATTTATATATAAACAACAATGATAGTTAATTTTAGTGGATATTACAATCCAGAAGGCAGTAATGCAATAATTAAAATCCTGTCTGTATGTTGCTTCTGTGGCATTAATGTTTTCATTAAGCCATAATGCAGTTTTCTTTGCATTCTTGGAATTAGACTTCAAAATCTATTAGTAATATAATAGCAAGTGTTGCTTTCATTGCTTTGTCTTATCACTTTTCTCTTGACAACATCTTGTATTAATCTTTTTTTCTGCGCATGCAAACTTATGCAGCTACAGAGAGAACATGGATGCCCCCTGCCTACAACCCACTGTCCTGGAACTAATTGACCATGCAGTGCTGGTGTATTAGGCATATTAGGGAGTTTACCAAATATGTATATATGTTCTCTTATGATATTAATTAAGATCCACAATTTCAGCATTGTATGCTAATTACAATGTACCTGGCACCTGAACCTCAAGTGCCTTGTACAAGTTCACATTAACATCATCTCTTCATGATGAAGATCTCTCTCTGAGTCTGGGCTACAAATAGCTCATTAAATTCTTGATATTTCAAGACTTGTGCCATGACAAAGTATTGAGTCTTCTCTTATAAATATAAGAGGTAACCTAGGTATATATATATATTATTTTATAATTAAAGCTTCCAAGTATAAACCCCATGTTGGGCGCCAATTGTAACTGCAGCTGGTTCCCCTATTTACCACTATAACGTCTTAAAGCATAGAACTTAGCAGGGCTAACCATACAGATATCTTTAGTCATAATATTATATAGTTAGTAAGACATCCTCTATTTAAAATATATAAATAATTGAGAATACAATATAAAATAAGGATTGTCTTGGAAGCAATAAAGTTTTGTCTTTTAGATATTTTATTAAATAAAAATATAAATATAGACATATAAAATCCATTACAATAATTTATAGCATAGTTTATAAGATTCAACTATATGCTTGCAATATCAGTCATAGAATAACATACCCTCTTGAACATGTCAACATCTCTCAGTCATTATAATATGGAGCAACAGTGTCTCTGTCTCAAAATCTCTCCTCTGTCCCTTAACATTTAAAAGGTACACCTATTTATATCTTAGATGTTCATTTCAGGACCTCCCTTAACTTGGCAAAAATACAAGGCCATAACTAAAACGTAAGTGCATATGACATGGGAAATTCCCTGACTTAGGACAAGGTTAGAGGTTATTGCTTAAAGAAACATGTATGAAAAACAATATTTTCCATTCTGACACCTTGTCAGTTTGCAATATCTCTTATAGACAAAGTATACAGTTTAAGAAATACATTTAATTCTAAATTAAAAAAGTAATATTTGCATTTGCCCATAACAATAAGTCATACATTCAGGGACACTCCAGGCATCAATACTACTTCAATGCATTTGATAGGTTTTGGCCTCATTCATATGCTGTATTTTTGCATATGAATGAGTTTTTTTGGGTGAGATAAATAAATGTTTTTTTTAAGAATGTTGCACCATCAGCCTACCTTTTAAGCCACACACCCTAATTCCAGGAAAAATGCTTCCTTATCAAATGTACACCAACAGCTCAGCCACGGGCAGTACTGATTGATCTAAACAACAAAACAACCTGCATTCGAAGGAGAGGACACTCAGGGGGACATATAGAAAGGATAGCACTACCTGCTTGTAGTTTCTTTGACTAGGTGCAGCCAAGGTGTGAATTAAAAACATCTCCCTCAGTGCTGTTGGGACTGAGACTGTGTGCACACCTTTGATAAGTAAGGCTTTCTGGCATGAGGGAGCATGGCTATGGAGGCAGGCTCTTGATGCAGCATTCTGCAAAACATTTATTTATTTTGTGTAAAAACGATAAAGATTTCAGCATGCAAAACATTAAGCAAGTTAATGAGGCCAAAATCTATCAAATGCATTAAAGTTGTATTGGTGCCATAGCGTCACTTTAAGTTCTCGAGTTACCACTTGACAACTAAGCAAAAGTTTTCTTCCAAGACATTCAAACATTATTATTTGCAATCATACGTTTTCCTTTTAAGCTACTTTACTTTAAAGGGACACTACAGTCACCTGACCAACTACAGCTTAATGTAGTTGTTCAGGTGAGATCTATAACTCCCCTGCAGGCAATCTAATGTAAACACTGCATGAGCACAAGGGAGCAATGACGCTTCCAAATGAAAGCGTCTGATTGCTCCCTGCTCACGCCCGCCTATTTCGTCATTTTGACAAAATAGGGGGATCGGCTTCAGGAGGCTCCCGGCGCTGGAACGAGGTGAGTAAAA